AACAGCTAATGTACTGATGAAAACAGCTTCAAGCACAACAGGCTAATTAACCTAGGGAAGGCGCTTCACAACCAGGGCCCCCACCACAAACAATGCACTTCACTTCTGAAAGAGGAAAGGCTGATGAGAACTGCCATCTATCAATATCTGGAAAGGTAAGTGTTCCACATCCCTGATCTAGAATTAGGAACACCCCGAGAAAGAATTTAATTGCATATGTCAAAAGGCGGGCAGTTTCACACAAAGAAGATGACACAAGGAGATTTCAGAAACAAAGGAGTTAACCATAAATTGTTACTTTTTTAATGTGTGCAATTTACATTTCAGAAGTAACATAAATAGAAACATGCTACATGTTACACTGTAGCATGTAGCATTTTCTAATTATTTTATTTACTTTTAACTTGTTACTTTTTAACCATATTTTAGAGGTTATGGGCTCTTTTTTTCAAATATGCCATTCTGTTATTAGCCCAAGGAATTTGACTGGATCTTTCCAATTCACACATTTCACCTTGCACAACCAGATACGTTGTGCTATGCCTTCCTTCCTAATGGTTTTTTACTGTATTTGCTTTGAGGTTTTTGGTGGTTTAGAAAAAAAGTGAAGACCCATGACCAACAATGACAGCATCCGCATTCAAATTCTGGATTTCAAGCATGCTGCTTACACAATATAAGTCTAGTCTGGAAACACCCTAAGTCCCAAATTACACCCTTTGCTCCACTACCCTACACCAAAACTTCACTGGCTTGAGACAACTCGTGTTAAATTTCCATAAATTTACCTGGAATAAAGTGGCTTCTTTAAATTACAAAATCTGGATTAATAATCTCTTACTTCAGCCATGGCCAATCATAATAAAATCTGAGGAAATCCCCACTGCAATTTAGAAGGCGGGATACTACAACGGGGGGGGGGAGAGGGAGCGAGAATGGGTTGAGGACCGTGAACGGGGGGGGGGGGAGAGTGAGCGAGAATGGGTTGAGGGCCAACAGTTGTGAAACAAGCCAGCCTTCCATATATTATGCAGCCGCATTTCTGACAAAACAAAAGTCGCGTTGTGCCTCCTCGCCTCCCCAGTCCAGACAGGTACAATCCCAAAGCCGTCCCTGTTTGACTGGGGACGCGGTCTCCAAAATTAAGCGGGCAGAAAAAGGACGCGAGGGAGAGAGCACCGCCGCGGCTGTTCCCGCCTTAGTCCTTGCAGGCGTCCAGGTGGGAAGGGACTCCTTCGCCCCCCGAGACTTCGCCGCACTAGTGCGGCTTCGCCCCCAAATCGGTTTCTGGACATAAACGCGACGAAGCGGCCACCAGAGAGAAGAGGAAGCAGTCCAGCCCCACCGGAGAGAGAGAGAGAGAGGGAGAGGGAGAGGGAGAGAGGCGGCGACGGCGGACACCCCCCCTTCCCCGAACATATTCCTCTACTTACTGGCGCCACAGAAGGGAAAGCGCGGCTCTTTCTGCGCACAGGTGCTGCCCCAACCCCTGAAGCTAAACTGTTTACATGGCCGACCCCGTCCCGGTTGCCCGAGAGGAGGCGCCACAGTCCGCGGCGCCGGCTGACCGCGGCGGAGCCCCTCCCCAGCACCCGCTAGCCTCCTCCAGCCCAGCCGTCTTTGCCCCACTTCCTTCGGTGGGGGAGCTGAGCACCTGCGTGGGCCGCCTCGGCCAGGTAAAGGCACCCCCACCCAGGTGGGCCCAGGAAGTGCCGAAGGAGCCCGCCGCGCCGGCGGAAGCCCGGGCGAGGAACCCGGGAGGGCGCTTCCTCCGAGGGGGGAAAAAACAACGCGGAATGCTCGGAGTTCAGCCGAGGGCCCCGATTCGGACGAGCCCTTTTCACCCGCGTTTTCCCTTCGCCGCCTCCTAAACGTAGCGCAGCAGGAGCCCCGCACTGGAAAGGCAATCCCACCGAGGTCACTTGGGAGTTTCTTTCTGTTCAATGTGAAGTCAAGGCCCTGCGCTTGTTTACTCAGAAGTCTAGTCTCACTATCTCATGGCGCTTCTTTCACTTACGAGTGCCGAGGTGACAGCCAGACCGATTTTCCGGCCCTCTGGAGAAATGCCCGTAGGATTGTAGCCTCGGTCTACCACCTCCTCCTTTTTTGTTGTTCTTGTTTCTCCCCCCCCCCGCTCCCTTTTCAGTGTGAAAGTAAAGTACAGTAAACACTCAATAAGCTCGTGGCAAATAAGCGATCACTGCTTAATAGCTACAAAACAAGAAAGTTTTAACAACAGCAGATTTCGCTGATCCGTTTACATTAATCAAACACAGAGGTATGGGGGGGGCGGATTAATGCCATCCCTTATTAATACAGAAACTGACTAACTGGCATTCTTCCCCCACTCCATCCCAGACCCCATAGCTCACTTATCTCTAGAAGCTCTATGATATTGCAGATACTGATCCAGTGAAAATTTACCATACACACAATATGACCATCACATGGATGGTATGCTTCCTAGGTCCACCTAGTAGCGAAATATTAAAAATCCTATTTCTGAGAGTGATTTCTATCTAAATCTGCACCCAATTGCATTTTAGGACAGTAACTTTATTTGAAAGAAAATCAGCTACAGTATTTCTACTTGGAGCTATAACCCTATATACACTCACTGTGTACTTCTCAGTACATATGTATGGACTTACACTTTAAGCATAGTAAGGGATCAGAGTTCCTGGTATAAGATTTTTTTTATTATCTATGAGGAAAATAATTGTTCAGTTTTCACCCATACATTTTCATCTATATTAATAAATATTTGATTTATTTATTTGATGTACTACCTAACTTAGTGGAAACCCACTACTTTGAGTAGTGAACACAGAGGAAATTAAACTCACAAGAGTATCAACACCCCCCATAACAGTATAAAATAACAGAATAGTATAAACAGCAAGAAACACAACAAAACCATGCAGCAACATAAAATTGACATCAAACATCAAATCAAAATGCTGTAATAAATTCCGGTCTCATAAGAAGTATGTTTTTAAAGCCTCTTTGTGAAGTTCTGCCTTTAGTTTTCTGAAAGTAAGAATGGATAGGGCCTGGGACATATCCAGTGGTAGGGTGTTCCACAGGGCAGAGCCAGTACTAAGAAAGTCTGATTGCTAGTTGACATTCTTCTGGCCTCTCTCTACATTCTTAGAGTGTAGCCACTCTAAGAAGCAAGCCCTGGGAGGAACGGGTGAAATGGGTAGTAGTGTTTCAGGAGAGATGATCTGATAGACACCAAGTGTGGCATTCACCTTTGTGGCACCTGTGTGTTTGGCCCTCACAAAGGCTCACATTGTGTTTTCCTCTCGCTGCCACCAGTGGACTACCTCAATCCACAATATAAATGACATTTGTCAGGACTCTTGTCTTGTGAATTCAAACAGAACTTATTTATTGAAGTGAATCAGATTTAATAATAACAGAAGTTCTTCATATAATAATTGTACACAAGCAAATCGTTAACAGTACTCTCGGTACATGCTTTTCTCTTACAATATCATTGCCACCTTCTCTACCTATTTTCTTAACCAGTCTTATCACTCTATCTGTTCCCTCTCTCTCTCTACTAACCTGACTCTGACTTTGACTCCCTTAACTAATTCAGGCTCCGCCTTTTAACATCTCTTTTCAGCTCCGCCTCTCAAACACATTAGCATAGAACCTGAATAATACATAACTTATTTTGCATAACATGGGGTGAACGCTGCACCAAGGTCCAAAACTATTTATATGTTAGCACTAACACCTTAAATTTTGTGTGGTAACTAACAGGGAACCAGTGCAAGCCTAGATCAGGGAGATGTAATCAAATCTATTTGCCCCAATGATCAGCCTGGCTCCTGCATTCTGGACCTACTGGAGTTTCCATATCATCTACACTAAACCCTTGATTTAGTGCAGGGCTGTAGGAATTTCAGGCAGGGGTTAGCTGTTAAATTAAAAATCCCCCCCACGAAAAAACTAAAATAAAAAAAACTGAAATATACTGAAGTACCTTATACAGTGGTGCCTCGCATTACAACGTTAATTAGTTCCAGCAAAATCACTGTAGAACGAAAACGTTATATTGCGAAAAGAAAAAACCCATTGAAATGCATTAAAACCCGTTTAATGCGTTCCAAAGGGCTGTAAACTCACCGTCCAGCAAAGATCCTCCATAGGGCGGCCATTTTCACTGCCTGTGCAGCAAGGAATCCGTCCCAGAAAACAGCGGGGGGGCATTTTGTTTACCCGACGGCCATTTTGAAACCACCGATCAGCTGTTGGGAAATCGTCGTTTTGCAAAGAATCGGTTCCCGTAGCAGGGAACCGATTCTTCGCAAAACGACGATTTTCCAACAGCTGATCAGAGGTGGTTTCATCGTTAAACTGGGCAATTGTAAAGCGGGCACCACTGTATCAACCTGATTCTATGCAAAGTTGGTTTAATTGAGCCTGAAAATGCAATTCTGTACATGTCAGCTCAAAAGTTAGCCCTATTTTGTTTAGCGGGACTTACCTCCAAGCGTGTGCATAGAATTATACATCTGTGGGACCCGAGGAGAGGCTATAGAAGCGCTCGCCGGAGTGTCGTCCTCCTTTAAGAGAGAAAAGGAGACCCAAACGGAATTTACGGCTACCCGCGTCGCGGTCAGGCACCAAGGTATAGACACCTGTGACTTGGAACAGGGCTTGACGAGACTGTCGGTGTCCACCCAGACAGGAATAGAAAAGGCGGGAACAAGGGTGGGGGAGCGACCGTTAGTGGAGGCGGGTCATGGCGATATAAAAGGACAGCGGGACAACATACCTGGGGGTTGGGAATTAATATGGGTAGAGGATCCCTGGACAGGGAGGTGCGAGAAAGTGAGAGTGTTTTGAGAGGAGGCTGATTACAGGCGTAGAAGGGGTTTGCCCCCTAAACCATCTTATTGGAGCGAATCCGAAGCCAGAGAGTGGCGGAGACGATTGAAGGAAGAAAAGGAAGCAGTTGAAAGAGAGGAGAGAGAAAGAAGAGCATGGCGTCTGGAGGAGGCTCGCCGGATGAGGTATTTACCGGACTCTGGGACCCCTATGCAGAGGGAAACAACCCCTATGACCAGGAGAGGGGAGATGAAGAGACACTACCCTTGATTGAGGTGGACATTAATACGAAGGACATTAATATGAAGGACAACATAAAGAACCAGACTAAGGCATGTAAGGTAGAGAAAGTCTTTGTCTAAATGCAGTATAATGGAAAACATGACCATATTCAACTACCGTACATGTCAACCCCAATAATTCTAGGTGATCTTTAATGATCTTTTACCATCTGGGCCTTTTGCATTTCTATAACATTTCTCATTCCTTTCCCTCATCCACATTGCATTCGTGTCCATTAACTGAAGCTGTGTTCCATGCATCAGAAGAACTGGACTGAAGTCCATAAAAAGCTTACTAAGCTTGTTAGTATTTAAGGTGCTACCAGATTCTGTTGTTTCTGCATTAGACTGTAGACTAACTAGGTGACCCCACTGGAAATGTCTGGAATGAAAAGAATTTTTAGTGCTGTCTTGGTCTGTCATTCTTGGGGGTCTGAAGTGCCCAGGGAGTCTTGTCATTTTTGGAACAGAAGGGCTCAGCCCACCGTAGCCAAATTTTACATCAAGGGCTTGAGCCCTTAGCCTCTTCCTGTATCTATGTCGGTGACCTTTCTTCTGCCTTTTTTGTAAGCTCAATTCTTCCAAAATTATAAGGAGTTTTTTCATATTTTTATTGGGCTTGGAATTTCGAATTATCTATCACTAGCTTTTTACACAAGGATATTCATATTTTTTTAAACGTTTAAATACAAGAAATAAAAATCCAGAAATGCTATCTATGCATGACTAATGAAAAGAAAGACCCCAATTTAGTGTTCAGATAGACCAGTTTTAATCAAAATTAGTCATGCAAACAGGCAATCAGTTTTGCTAATATAAACTAGAGGAACCAAAGTCAAGATGCATTTATTTGGCCTGCATTTCATTTGCGAAAATAATTACATGAAGCTTGTGGTCACGAACTTTTATGGGAAGACTGAATTATAAGGCACTTGGGAAAATACTTTTAATACTGACAAACATTTTTTACATTCTGTTTATTTGATATCAGATTCTTATTTTAAAATGCATTTTTAATCTCTTAGCAGCTTAACATTGATTGCATTTGCCATAATGCAGTAGAATTGCCAGTTTTGGTCAGAAATTTCAAATCAAGCTTTCCCTAATAACAGAAACATAACACTCCTTGTTATGAAGGGAAAAACATTTTGAAAATGCAGTGATGTGCAACAACAATGAGTGCTTGATCTTCATTTTTTTTACTTATTTTATTTGTGCTCCTACCCTGTTTCCCTGAAAATGAGACCTAACCTGAAAATAAGCCCTAGTATGATTTTTCAGGATGCTTGTAATATAAGCTCTACCCCAAAAATAAGCCCCAGTTAAGTGAAGCCCCGCCCTGCACCATTGTGCAGCAGCCAGAAGATGACATGACTGTATTTGAATAAATGTAGATTGTTGTACATGAAAAAAAGAAAACATCCCCTGAAAATAAGCCCTAGTGCATTTTTGGAGCAAAAATTAATATAAGAACCTGTCTTATGTTCAGGGAAACATGGTATGATGTTACATATATGGCAGAATTAAAATTTTAAAAATTGCTGAAAACCAGAGCCAGATTCTAGAAGAGATGTTTGAAATGGGGCAATAAATTAAAGGGAAAAATTTAGACCTTTAATTACATGAGTTGTAGCTGATTACATTTGCATATGAATAAAAACAATGATTCTGAAGCAAGAGGCACCTTTTGATGATTTCAGATTATACATGTCAGAGCATGAATCATATTTGAATAATGTAGAATTCCCTGTAGAATATATATTTGTATAAATATATTTCTTAATGTGCTATCTCATCAGTGGTGCAATTAGATAATTTTAGACTGCATTCTTCCCCCCCGCAACCCATGCTCCAGGTAGCAATGTCCAATATTTCAACTCAACATACTGTTGCACTAATGCTGTTACTCTGTGGAGCTCTCCTGCGTATTCTGCTGAATTTTACATAATGCTCAACTTCTGCCCCCAATTGTCTTTGCATTCATTCCCTGATATTAAAAATAATTGTATGCTATGATGTCAATTCTTACGTTGTTGTTGTTGTTGTTGTTGTTGTTGTTGTTGTTGTTGTTGTTGTTGTTGTTGTTGTTGTTGTTGTTGTTGTTGTTGTTGTTTAGTCCGGCAACCCTTTTTGGGCTTTTCCATATAGAGACTACTCAGAAGTGGTTTACCCTTCCCTTCTTCCGGGGCGCCCTGGGACTGTGTAGCTTTCCCAAGACATACAGGCTGGCTCTCCTTGCAGGAAGCACAGTTGGAATCAAACTGCCAACCTCCGGCTGTGCAGCCGAAGTCCTGTCCTAAATCAGAGCTTTTAAAAAATGCTTTTCTGGATAACAACTCCCAGAATCTGCTGGAAAGCACAGCCCAATGGTTAGGTTGAACTGTGGCAGTTGTAGCCCCAAAAGTAACTTTTGTGTGCCCTGCAGCCACCCTTTCTTAAAAAGAAGAAAGCTCTCCCAGGTCACATTTCCCCTACCCTTGTCAATGTTTTTCCTATCTCTGCCTTAAATGTTTTACTGTGTCTGATAACTCGGAGGCAACTTTTTAATCAACCGTAAGTTTTTAATTGATTAATATAAGCTAACAAACACCACAGCCCCACTTCAGTAGAAGGATTTGCTCCTCCTTGAAAACAGAACAACTTGAACCATAAACAAAATTGCCTGGGGCACTGATTCCCAGATCTCTTCAGTAGAGAGCAAAACCAACTTTAATGACTGGGTTGATTTGGCATACACTTATATTTTATGTGCCGTCAAGTCAGAATTGACTTAAAGTGACCTACCGTGTTTTCCCGAAAATAAGACAGGGTCTTATATTAATTTTTGCTCTGAAGGGCTTATTTTCATTAGGACTTATTTTCAGGGGATGTTTTCTTTTTTTCATGTACAACAATCTACATTTATTCAAATACAGTCATGTCATCTTCTGGCTGCTGCACAATGGTGCAGGGCAGGGTTTCACTTAACTGGGGCTTATTTTTGGGGTAGGGCTTATGTTATGAGCATCTTGAAAAATCATACTAGAGCTTATTTTCAGGGAAACAGGGTAGTAACCACTCCTCAAGGTACATGAGAAATTTAAGGAGAGGTTTACGTGTCTCTCTCTCTCTCTCTCTCTCTCTCTCTCTCTCACACACACACACACACACACACACACACACCACGAATTTCCATGGCTGAGGGTATTTGAACCAGGTACAAAAATATTTGCAATCTATACTTTTTTGCATTTTGTCAACAATTGTTTTTGCTGTTCACATTTTTTTCTCCACAGTAGGGTAGTATTCCAGATGCTGTTGGACTTTTAACTCTCCTTAGTACTACCAAATGGAGAAGGAACAGTGTTAGTCTTTAAGGTACTGCAAAACTCTTAGTTGTTTTTGCTGATGAAGGTGAACAGTAACTTTTAGGGTAAAAAATTCTGACAAAACAAAAATGGAAGAAAAAATCAGGACTAATTAGCTAAGGTTATTGTGGGAAAGACAGACTGAAATTCAAATTGTATGCTGTGCACTGGAATTAGCACCCTATTATTACTGAAAAATTTCAGGCACAGACAATCCAAATTATAAAAGCATTGACTGGTTTTATGTAACAGATACAAGTTTTAACCAAAAAATAAGTACTGTATCCATTAAATATCGACATATTATATATGCTGTTCCTAATAGTGCTGTGATATTGTTTATGAAATTTGCAACTGCTTATAATACAGTGTGAAATTTCTTGATATTGTTTCCAAAGACCCAATAACAATGGGGACCACTGAGATATATTTCATCCACAAGCAGGATATTTCAATTGCCAGGTCTCTGTATTTTGTTAGTTTTTCCAATTCTGTATTTTCAACTCTGGCATCCCTTAGAATTAAAATGTCAATGATCCAGACTTTTCTTCATTCTATTACTATTATGTCTGGTGTGTTATGTTCAAGGTGTTTTATCTGTTTGTATCCGGAAATCTCACAATATCTTCACTTTGTAATTTTCTGACACCTTCTCTGCCTGATGTTCCCATCGTTTTTTTGGAGGCTGACAAGTTATATTTTTTGCAGAATGACCAGTGCACTAATTTTCCACTCTATCATGTCTAACTTTGTAATCTGTTTGTACAATCTTTGGACATTCACAGATGAGGTGTGACACAGTTTCATCTTTTTCGTGGCAGAGTAGACATTTGCTGTTAGCACTAACTCCTTGAATCTTAGCTTTTATTACATTGGTTTGGAGTGTTTCTTCTTCTGCAACAAAAATCAAGTTTACATTGGTTTGGAGTGCTTCTTCTTCTGCAACAAAAATCAAGCCATCAGTTTCTTTCTTAATAGTCCCCAGTTTTAACCATGGCCATGTTTAATTATTTTCATGCCTTCCATCAATATTTCTCAGATGTTTTCCATGTAGTGGTTTATTTTTCCAACGGTTTATTTTCAAATATTTTTTCTTATATTAAAAGCAAAAAAGCAAAGCAAAGTGTGCTGCTTATATACCGCCCCATAGCGCTTCAAGCACTCTCTGGGCAGTTTACAATTTAATTATGCAGGCTACACATTGCCCCCCCCCCCAGCGAGGTGGGTACTCATTTTACCGACCTCAGAAGGATAGAAGGCTGAGTCAACCTTGAGCCGGCTACCTGGGATTTGAACCCCAGGTCATGAGCACAGTTTTAGCTGCAGAACAGCGGTTTAACCACTGCGCCACGAGGCTCCAAGTCTTTGTTTAAGTCTTTGTTTCTCTTGTTTTCAAAATATTCTCCATTTTCACTCCCTAATTTTTCTCTACTTGTACCACTATAATCATTTAGGCTTCCTTTTTCCTCCTCTACTAGCTGTTGCATTTACAGTAATCCATGGATGGAGACGGTCTCTCTACACAGTCAGCAAAAACAAGACTGGAGCTGACTGTGGCTCTGATCATCAGCTTCTTATAGCAAAATTCAAGCTTAAACTGAAGAGAGTAGGAAAAACCACTGGGCTAGTCAGGTATAATCTAAACCAAATCCCTTATGAATACACAGTGGAAGTGAAGAACAGATTTAAGGAACTAGATTTGGTGGAC